CCACAAGTTCAGCCTAGATCAAGCAAGCCAAAAAACATATGCTAATCTATGTTTCTCCTTCATCATTTCTTTATGGGCAATCTGATGCAATCGGTCATGAGTTGGGACAGGACCGGACCGCCCATCCGGCGTTGATGATGTGAGGATCCTTTTGGGCAGGCAGAGGCACGCAGCTTTGTTGCCTTTCCTGCCCTTTGGACGCCAAGCACTCTCTCTCTCCATCTTCGATTCCAATGGCAGCAAGCGGTTGCACCACACGCTTTATTCCACCTACTAAAAACAATTAAGAATGCCAGCCATTTGAACAGCCTCGCTTCTCCTACGACCGACTCCGTCTGCGTGGACTGTGCCCAACTGCTGACGCGGTATAGGCCCAATAAGGCCTCCTCTGGTTTGAAGGTCATAGGATTTCTATAGGATATGATTTTCCTATTCCTACAACATTTCTATCCTATGAACCAAATGCTGAAAAATGCCTGCCTAGCTATCTAAACATGCCTTTGTACTACTATACTACGACCAGCCAAACTTGCTTTCAATGTATGATAGAGACTAGAGAGCGAGTGTCGAACTTACCATCTTCTTCCCCGACCTCTGGCCGGCGATGCGGGGCAGCGGCGGCACCGGCAGGATCAATGGGCGCCGTGCTCCTCCCGCAGAGCCAACCTGCAGCAGCAGCAGCAGAAGAGCAATTACAAGATCAGTTGTTAGCTAGGATATGCTGCTGGTGCTGGTATAAAGAAGAAAGCGAGAGTGGAACCAACCAACGACCAGCGCAAAGAAAGCAACAGCAGAGGACACACGTTCTTTATTATCAATCAAAAGGAAAGGAAACTGGGTGAAGGCATGCAAGGAATGATGAGATGGATGAGCCAGCCGGCCAAACTAACTCCCCACCAACAATGCACCAGCCCCGCTCGTGCATGCATGCACACATTTCTACTCGCCAACTCACGTGAAACGCATTACGGTTTTGAGTTTTTGAATCGGTCCATCGGCAGTGCTCATCTGTCACCCTATCTACACACTTGGAGTTTTTAAATAAGTGAATAAATATATAGATAGAAAAATGGTTTCTTTTCGACGGGGACAATGACGTGTGGGGCCTGAGCGAGGCCATGCAGGTACGGTTTGGGAAAGCGTTAAGTGTACCGCGTGCGTCACCAACCGAAAGGCGTCGTGGGGGCTGCTGGCGCTGGCGGTACACGTGGCGGGAGGCAAGTGGCCGTGACAGGCCGTATCTAGCACCGTCGCCCCCGCCTCCGTGTCCGGCCGGACGGCCATACCCATAGCCATAGGCAGCGCGCGACCCGGGCACACGGCCTAGCCAATCGGCGGCGGCCACGTGGAACCCTCCGACCACCAAACGCCGACGCACCGGTTTGACGCCGAGTGACTCTCAACTGCATGGCGGGTAGGGCCCGGCCCCACGGGCGGTGCCACTGCCACCGCGGCGCGAGGAGTCCCTAAATGACCACACTGCCCTCACGAAGGACTCTGGTTTGGGGAAAGGCGTGAAAGCTCGTGGTGAGGAGTCGGATCCCCACGCCACCGCACCAACCGCTGTGAATTGCCACGGAAGGAGCTGCAGTCAAGCACGCGACACGTAGTACCGTGGAATGAAACGGAATGACCATGGCGATGACGGATGCTATTCATACACACGACCGTACCGGGATAAAAAAAATAAGAAGCCATTGACATTCAGAGCTGACGCCCGTCAATTGGACTTTTGATGCGAGGACGATGGATCTGTGGAACAAGAAGCGGGGTGTCTGGAGTTCGACGGAAGAAAACATGCGAGAGAAAAGGTAACGGAAAAAGATAAAAGATGTGAGAAAAGGTCAGGCGAACAAAAAGCGGGTGAGGTGCGGAGGAAAAGCGATGTTTCATCGCCAAGTCATCCACCGTTGCCGTTGCTCTTCCCCTCCCTCTCTCGGTGGTGACCCCGTGGAGGGGTAGTTTCGTCCGTGCCAAACGAACGAACGGAAAGCACGCAAAGCAGGCAGGCAGCCAACGGACCACGAGAAAGGAGACAGACAGGAGAAAGAATGGAGGGGAAGAAGAAAGCAGCAACTGCAGATGGGGACGCGCGCGCTCGTCTACGTACCTTGGCCAGGGAGGAAGAAGCTGGGGCGGCGGTGGGTGTGACCACGGCGTGCCCGCGGGCGAGGGCGACCGTCGCCGGCGGCGAGCAGAAGGCGCCGTCCTCGCCGCCGCTGGTGGACGCGCCGGAGCCGGAGCCGCCGCTGTAGTCGAGCGGAGACGCGGGGCTGCCGCGGGCCCATCGCCCCTTGTTCTTGTTGGCCGCGGAGCCAGAGCGCGACGACCGCGTCCGCTTCCCCCGCGCAACCGCCGGCCAGGCCGTCTCCTCCTTCGCCGCGGCTTCGGACGACGGCGGCCCGCTGGCCTTCCAGGGCGGCGTCCACCCGGCGAGGTCGGCCGCGCGGAGCGAGCAGATGATGCCCGCCGCCTCGGCCACCGCCACAGCAACACATCCCTCGGCGTCCTCCGTCATGGCGTCCGGTGAGTGGACAGCAGAGGGAAGAAGGGGAACGACCGGAGGCGTGGACGAGGGAGAGAGGGAAGAGGTAGGCAGGCAGGGCGATGGGTGGGAAGGTGGAATGGAAATGAGGGGGGCGTGCGTGGAGTGGAACGGAGGCCAACCAACGCCACGCCGTGCCATCCCTTTTAAATGGCCCGAATAATTAAAACCGCGGAATGGCCGTCGGGCCCACGCCACTCCACTCCTCTCCTCTCTCCTGCGGGCCGCCACGTCCTCCTCCAGCCTCGCGTCACTCTGGACTCTAGACGACCGACGCCGCTTACCGGTGGGGTTCTGGAGGGTGGCCCCAGTGTCAGTGGCAGGGCGGCGCAGCGTGTGGGGTGTGCTCGCTTTGACGCCGACCCGGTCCGACGACGACGTGGATGGGCGCCGACCGGAGACTGTGCAGGCGAGGGGATGACCGGGGAGCCCGAGGTGGGACCGTGATGGCAGTCGGTGAGGAGACTCGAGGCGTAGGACGCAAAACAGCAGCCAGCACGGGGTGTGCTTGGACTTGAAGCTTGGAGTAGGATCCGCGGTGGAAAATCCCGATCGTAGACCTTCTTCCCGAGAGGGCACTGCCAAAAACGAATCTCAATGCAACCTGCCAATTAATCCTCTATGTTTTTTTCAATAAAAAGTCGCTAATCCTGTTCCCATACCAAATCCCGATCCCCTTTCTTCTATGACGTCCACGCTCGCTCGTCGTCGCGGCCGCCGCAAGCTCAAAAAGGTCCTGGATCCCCGTTCCTTCTCCGGCATCCACTCTTGCTAGTCACCGCCTACGAAAGCACCAGAGCACCAAAGCTTTTACTCCCAGCCGTTCACAACCCGGCTCCTCGCTTCCCGGCAGCCACCGGCGCTCCGTTCATGACCACCTCCTCAGCTCGGCTTCGCCGGATGTGTCCTAGCTACACGATATTAACCTGCTGGCTGCATCTCGGCAAAGTACGGCGTCGCGAGCTGTGCTACCGACGGGATTCAGCGCGCCGAGCAGGGGTGCTGTGCTTGGTGTAGAGGAGCTCACCGGTGAGGATGTGACGAGCAGCGGGGCGTTTCACGCCGGCGGGGGCGTTCGAGATGTTGAATCGTGATTTGCAAAGGGGAAAGCGAGGAAGGAGACGGCAGCTGCCTTGAGATTCCTACCACGTCTGGTGCGCAGAGCGATTTTCTTTTTTACAAAAATGAGTGAGATCTATTAATAAATTCACCGAAAGTATAAAACACCTCAAATATAATAAAAAGTACATTGAGATACCAAGACTGTCAAAAACCTTTACTGGAGCCGGCTTGACTTTGTCGATAACAACTGGGAAGTCTTCGTGTACGTGTCCTAATGACTAGCGCCCTGGAGCCGTAGTCGCCGATGTTAAATCCTTGAATAGATCTGAAACACCGTACATGAAATCTCGCCATATGATAAGAAACCTTAAATTCACCTCCCAAGGATACGACAGGAATTTACGCCAGAGCTCCATCGACTACGTTCTGATGGAAAAGCTCGAGGAGGAACGGAGCTCGGAAGACAAACTCGAAGAAGAAGTGCTACCATCTGCCCCGAGCGCCGCACCTGTGAAGACTAACAAACCCTGACTTAAACTACTAACCGGAGTGGAGGCATCAGAATTCTCCTCCCGGCCACCAGAGCGGAAGGCAGAGGGGAGGTGAATCGACGGGCTCCCTGACAAGGTCTGAAAGGGAGAGTTTACTCTATGGGGTTAGGGGAGGAACAAAAGATTCATTCTCACCACTCTCGTCTTGCCAACTCCCCTGGGTTGTGCAGAGCGATATACTACAAAAGCGTATGCACCAGCGGTGGTGACGCACTCATTGGAGCTACCATGCCGCAGGAGTCCATTACTATTCAGAAGGATATCTAATATGTCCAGATCGAACTAAACATTTCTTGAAACAAAACATAATTTAACAAAGCAGCTATCATGTTCAAATGGATCAAGCAACTATGCACACAAAAAGTATCTGTCATTGTTGTATGTGAAATGCCATATATAAAAATGTTACAATTGTCATGCATGGAAAAAATATAAAACAAAAAACATTATGTTTTAACCTAGAAGTGGCCATTGTTTCAACTAAGATGATGGCAATTTTCTTTTTGAAGAAGAACAATTGTGAAAAAGTCTCATAAAAAAGACATCTGCTATGCGATGTACAAGTAATTTGCCATGGTAAACAAAACATAATTTAGCATGCTTTGACAAACAAATTTGCCATGTTACAAAAAATCCAAATAAAAATATATGATATTGTATAAGATAAAAGTTTTTTTTGGGTGTTTAGAAAGAAATTTGCCATTGCCAAAACAAAACAAATTTGCACGGTCCAAGCAATGAATTTGCCATGGTCCAAACAATAATTTTTCCATGGTCCAAACAATAAATTTGCCATGGTCAAGTTTGACATTGTCTAAAAAAAGAAATTTGACAATGGCCATAAAGTGAATTTGCCATGGCAAATGTTTTAACAACTTTGGCTTATATAAAATGTTTTTGTGCATGGCAAGAATTGTATTACTAATATGGTCAAAACTATATTGAGTGACATGGCAAAAGCTAAAATAACTTTTGCCATGGTCCAAAAATAGAATGGCCGATAGTCTAAGATGTAAATTTGCCATGATGAGATAACGAAAACAATACACCATGAAAAAGGAAAATTTCCATTGTCAAATAAATAGAGTTGCCATTGTCATAAAAAGTAATTTTGATAGTCAAAACAAATATATTTGCCACGGCAAGGCCGCGGTGGTAGGACCCATCTTCATCTGGTCCAGTGCCGGCGCCCAACATCCTCGCATCGGTAGGCGGACCATCAAGAGAGAGGCCCCGACCCCTTCTGCGCCGTGGTTCGCTGCCACACGTGGTGGAGCTGGCACTAGCAGCGACGGACCAAGTAGAAGAGCGAGATGAAGGTGGTTATGGCAGAGCACGATTAGTGGCAACACAGATGCGGGATGGCAATGATTGGATCTTGCGAGAGAATAAGGGGAATGGGATGGATGGCTTGGTCAGGTTGATGGCTAGACAACATCCGCGTACGTTTGGAGGGTAAAAATTAGAA